AATCAATCTTCAACTTTTAGCAACAGAGCAAAGATTCATTAGTTATCTTACAGATTACTGTACAATCTTTATCAGTGATTTGGAAAATATTGTCTGGCTGCTCAACTCCTAACTGCGAATGTAGCTGCCATTCGCGTGCAACAGAACCGGGCTCACGGACTGGGACCGAACACAACCTCCGAGACAGACTGAGGACAGAAGATACCTTGACTAGGGCGCCATTTTAAATAATCATAACACATAATAATGTGTTTTAATGCTAACAGAGCCTCCGATAAACTACCAAATTTTATTCTCACTGGAACCAGTTGCATTCGGTTTTTAATGAATTATACGAGAAAATCATTACTATTATTGAAATTTTCACTTTCTGCCATTATTTCACTGCAAAAACAATCCTAAAAACATCCCAACATGCATCATTTGTGCCATCAGACCCCAGAACCCGGGAACCCGTTACCTCATGTGCATACACAATACTTGAGAAACACTACACATGTACATATATACACTAATATCTGTGTATATATTTTATTCTCTTTGCACTACATTTCCCTGTGCTATTCAATGAAGGAACATCTTATCGTGTCTTAGTAATCAATGCTTTCACTATATACGATCACATTAAAATAGAAGAGAATAAGCCACTATAACCCTAAATATATATGTATATATATATAAAACCCAGTCAGAATCTTGTAAAATACCATCATATAAATGTTTGGTGACGCCGGCACGCATTAGTCAGTAAGTTTACAGAAACCGCTCCAACCCAAAATGGCTCCTTTATAATTAAAATACTGCTTCTGAGAGAAATTTCCTTTACAAATGGAGTAAATTGGATCCTGGAGTACGTTCAGACAAAGGCAGCGTGATTAAACCGAGGCAGATTACATCAGTGCGCCTGTGATTTGCAGCAGCGTGCTGGACTACAGTTACACACCTGTCTGCTGATAACGGGGCTTGGTTTACCTGCCGGGACGATATCTGCCCCATCAGACAGCTGCCAGACTGTTAATGAAGAGACCTGACGAGGCCGACCGGACCACCTGACCGCACAGGGACAGGTGAGTCCCACCGGCTGATCTTCAGGTGACGCCGTGACTTTTATATGAACACACACGTTTATTTGACTTCTTTCAGCGGTGGGACGCTTTAGAACTACTGCTTTACAGTGCAGAGGTCACATTGTAGTACTCTGCAGTTCAGAAGAACATAATGTACTTTTTACTCTTTTCACTATATTCAACAGCTACAGGGAGATAAACTGGCTCCACCCCCACCGAATATATTAAAACACAAAACAATAATTAAATGTTATCAAAAATCTAAGTCAAACACACCATCGACGTTCTGCTGCTTCATTATTTCTACTTTTGATGCTTTGAACACATTTTGTAAATACTTGTATTGAGTATTTTTACATTGTAGTATTACTACTTTTATTTAAGTAACTGATCTAAAAACATTACTGCACACACTGCAAATCAGTCCACAAACCATCATAAAGGATCTGAATATGAAAGCCGGTCTGTGTTTAGATCCCATCCGTTTCCAGTGGAACTCGTAACGAAGACCAACAACCAGCCTCGATATCGACAATAAAACATTTTATTGGTAAAACACTGAAATCAGTTAAAGTGCTTCACAGAAAATACAGAGAACACAGCAGATTGTAGAGGTTAGAATAACGTAAAGGAATATCCAACTGTATGTGGTTAGCCTAGCTTAGCACAAAGACTGCAAGCAGGGGGAAACTGCTAGCCTGGCGGTAAGTAGCTCATTAAAGAGACAGCGCATTAAAGATTTCCTGAATCAGCTTTTTAACTTTTTAATCTTTTAACCTCCAAAGTTAAGAAATAAACCTGATTGATATTTCTGAACATGCAGAACACGGAGCCGGCGCCATAGAGTCCGGGCCCGGTGACACTG